TGCTAGGAAAACAGGAGTGGTCTGCAATTTACGGCAAACCCTTTTGCGGAATTGTGAAATTTGATAGAACGATGCGGCATGCATAGACGGACCTGAGACCCGGAACCGAGTCCTCTAGCTTCTGTCACCGAGTAAACGCGTTCTTCAATGCTAAACACCGCGAAGTAGAAACAAGCCAAGGTGTTTGCACATGCGTATATTTGCATCGCAATGGCGTGTTTCTGTACACCATTACAGCTGCTTCGTTGGCAGCTTGGGAGTGTCGCATTAGAAAGTGAGAGGAACAGGTGGTTTACGACCGTGGTTGCACCTACCAAGGCATACTCTCCATGGCTCTCGAAACACCCTCCGAATTCCATCACGCACTCTTCGAAAAGCACGACGAAGTCTTCGTCGGAAGCGACGCCACCCTGCCGGCACAAGAACTTCATCCTGACTGTCGGATGTGTCAGCTTCGTCAACTGGGCCTATGTATTCTGTCTCCATGTCATCGAGTGCCTCCTCCCCATCCACCAAGTCCGCTGTGTCGAACAAATCCTCCTCCAACTGCTTTGCAGTCTGGCTGTCTGGCGCCATGAGGGAAACGACTTGATATGAGGTGAAGGCTAGGAGGAGGATGAGGAAGCAGGCCAGAGTGGATTGCGATCGCATGTTGTTCTAGTGCGCAGGTGATTTAAACAAGTGTGTTGTGTTTGACCATGTTCTGCATCGCGTACTTATATACTCGGTGACGCGTTCGTGTAAACGCAGCAGTAGCTGTTTATTGGAGTGGGTGAACGTAAATCTTGTTGGTGGGGTGGCAGAGTGCGTTGGTCAAGAGGAATGGTGATTACGACATGAATGCGGACATGAGACCCCGGAACCGAGTCCTCTATCTTCTGTCACTGGTTAGTCGAAGCAGGAGGCGGAGGGGTAGGGGTGAGGAGGAGTGAATGCCTCAAGTAATGCACCACTATTGTGAGAGTCTACGCAATCAACGTTTGGTATCAACCTCACCCGCATATCAATTTCTGAGAACGAAATTGCGTGCGCACAGAGAAAATTAAGTGTTTTGCCCTCCACCGATGACGATAAAGGCAAGGAGACGGGCGTGAAGATGGCATTTTGCATCGCACGTGGAATCGTGTACACAGGTATTCCGAAGGAGCGACATTGTTTATTCAAAAATGTACTTCCTGCACCGCATCAATCTTGTGTCGGTACAGTTGGCGTTGGACAAAGAACTT